TGTATAGATGTATAGAATATGATGACCCAGCATGATAAATCCCAAAACGAAAGGCAGAAGTTTAATGGCAAAATGTGAAAAATGTGCACAAATTAGGGGCTGTCATAGCTGGCATATCTGCACATTATTAACTGCCACGCCCACAGCTGCAGCGCACCCAACAAAAAGAAAAAAAATGATAATAATAATAAAAAATAAAAATGAAACTAAATCCAGGCACCGCAAGCAGAAGTCCGCCTAGATACGACCGTGCCAATACATCATGACACACACACGGCAAGCGCTGAGTCGACGAGGGGGGAGGGGGGTCTGGTCTGTCCGGGTTGCCGGGGGGTGTAGGGGTTGTGAAAAACATCTATTCATAATGCGCATAGCTCTGACAGCGGCTGAAAAAGTAGTTTCCATTTCCGCAGCGCAGGCGAACAGGGAAAGGCAACCCGAAGCAGCAGAAGAGGCAGCAGCAGCAGCAAAAGAAAAAATTGGATTATATTAATTTGAATTAATAACATATTTTCCGGCAGACTTTTCCTCTGGAATGTTGTTAGCTATGCCAAGCAGCCGGGAGTTTGGGAAAAACACTCGCAATTTGCTTGTTATAATTTGCTTGTCTATGCGCAGTGAGGCGCGTTCTGATTTATAATATGCGTTGGCTAAAGGACTTCCAACTCCTGATCTCTTCCACAGCTCCTCTTTACCAACATCCGTTTGTTGTTGTTGTTGTTGTTGTAGCTTCGAGGCATTCCCCTGCTCATTAATGTGCTCTTAATATAGAGTTAATTTGCATTGGAATTTTACACAGAACCTGGCAACTGTTTTCAATTTTCGGTTTCGGTTTGCAAGCAATGTACAGTGGTACCTCCCCGTAACGAGCGACTCTACAATACATTTTGCGTACAGCTTATCTTTTATAAAGCAACAAAAAGTCTTTTTCAACTTAGTATTTTCTAGATATGTACAGTCAAGCTTCTTTGTGACTAACGATTCAAAAAATATTGTAAAGTTTTTCCTAAAGGCTTTTGTAAAACATAACACAGATTTTCCAGTCTTAAATGAAATCAATGAAAGTGTTTATATCTTTTATATCTTCAATCATAGAACATATCAAATATTGCTTAAATTGGAGCAAACTATTTTCCAACAAGTTTGTCATCTTGAGTGTTTACTGTTTATGGAATTCGAAATTTCTGGCATTTGGTTCAAGTGTTTAAAGCGCATTGATTTAACCTATGCCAAGTGTAGAAAAAAATGCGCAGCATCAATTTCCACAATGGACCACATGCTAACCCAGGCTATACGCCTCCCCCTTCCCATTCCACATCCTTTTTTGGTCAGTTAACAGTGCAACGCAGCGGCAATTTATTGACTGTATTGAGACGGGCTACGTGCCGCACATAAACCGCACTTATCTGGCTGACTGACTAACTGACTGAATGCCTCACTGCCATACACACACACACACACACACTACTGGCGGGTGCCTTCCGGTTGCTTGCTTGACTGGATGGGATGTGCCTGCGTCCTGGCACTACACATCCTGGCATTGAAAGGCAGCAGCAGCAGCAGCAGCAGCCCAAGTCGAAGAAAAATTGCATGCGGTTGCGAGAGCAGCAGCTAAATTAATGTGTCTGTCCGTGTGCGGTGCACAGCGAAGTGTGCCCGAACCCCTTCAAACTACGCCACTGGCCGCGCTTAATGCTGCAGCTGCCATAGCCACACCAACAACTCGCCCCCCTTCTCCACTCCCCCTGATTACCACTCCTCCACTTTTGGCTCAACTCTTAAGCAAATACTCGCAAACGTGCCCGTGGCATGCATATCAAAATGATGTATGCGTGTTAGATATGCTATAAATTTTATTCCTGCTTCGACTTCTGCTTATCTTCTACTCTACTCTTTACACCAGCCCCACTCACACACACAAAAACACACATACAGAGCCAGCTGCAATCCGTTATTAAACGCTTGACTGATTGACCGTCGTTGGCATTTGGTTCTGATTAGAAAAGAGCAGCCACAAATTCCATGTTGATAGAAATGCGAGTCGGATATCTAAGCTGACGCTAGTCTGACTAAAAAAAAAAAAACATATAACAAAATACATTTATAATAATACTAGCGGGTATAACACGGTGATCCCAGTAAAATAATTCACTCACTGAAAATTAGTTTGTAACCGTTTGGACGGTAAAGCACCCATTGATTAAGTTCTTCTGCAGAGCTTTCAAAATAGGTTTGGAGCAAAACAGGGAAACCCTAAAACAAGAATAATGTTGCCTGAGAAAGAGCTAAAATAAAAATCGAATGAGATTTGACCGAGTTATAGGAGGAAATTTATATAGACTTAATTGATGTTGATTTTAAGTGTGCTACACTTGAATTTTAAGTTATTTTCTCCCGTAAAAAGCAAATTTTTGAGAAATTTTCAAATTTCCCAATTCTAGGCTAGTAACTGAGTCAAAATCTACACCGATTCGACTTTGTAGCAACTTAGCCAACAACAACAAATTAAAGGTTTGAATATTCACTAAAATAATGTTTTTTTAAAAAATCTTGTATTTTAATTTTGTATAAATAAGAAAAGCTCCAATCGTATAAGGCTGAAGTTTCTGCTAGGGAACTTGAGAAATCTGGAGTATATATTTTTTAACATTTTCGGTTTAGGTTTTGGCATTTTCTATCAAATATTCATTTTCCATAAATCAAATTTTTAGTGTAAAAATGATAAAGGAAACATTACTTTGGGAGACGCTGCACACTGTAGAGCAGCTGGAGGTGGCCTTCGAGGAGACACTCCAAACTATAGACGATTTGAACAATCGATATAGGCTTATTGCCACACGAAAGAAAACAGCTGAGAAACGTCAGCGGCTCTATGAGTCGGAAATACAGGCGGCCATCACAGAGCCCACATATACCAAGATCCTAACTTGTCCGATGAGGCGGAAGAAGCGCTCAAAGAAACGAACCGTATACAGAACGCAGACGGCTACTCAAAAGTCCAATAAGCAGACGGAACAGCCAATTTTGTCCCTGCAAGCCAATTGCACATATGAGTTGAACTTGAATGGTTCGAGCACTGGGTTCCATTCCGTTGAGGCGCGCATTCATCAGGAGCAAACGGAACCGGCAACGGACGCGAGACCGGCTAGCAATGGGAGTGGCATGTCGGAAGCTTCAGATCAAACAGATCCTAAGCTCTGTTCCTGCAGCACCCATTGCTGTCCCTATTGCCATTGCAAAACCTATTATTTTTAATATGTATCTTAAATGTATATTAGCGCTATTTCCTTAAATAAATAAATGACTATATAGCTTAACTGATGCCGTTTGAAAACTAAGCCCCGCTTAAACATGTTTACAATTTCATACATTTCGAAAATAATAAAAGAAAAATACGCATAGAAAAATGCAAACATTACTTTTAGGAGTTCAAGATATTACCAGAAAAGAAGACATCTGTGACATGTTATAACGTAAATTTGAATTATAAATAAATTATGGGTTTCCACTGTAGATTATCGTAATATCTTATTGTATATCTATCACAAAATACGAGATAACTGTGATAAATAAAATATAAAAAGTAAATAAATAATAAGTTTTCTCTAAAGATTGATATGAATATCATATCAACTCTATTATATTATATTGTAATATCGTACCGTATATTTATTTTATTTTTTATTGTCCTAGCTCTACAATAATGTCCAATAACTTAGCAATAGCATCGATTACAAGTCCAACAATGCACACGACCCTCGTCCTGGTTGTCCAACACCCCCCTCCCCCCCCCCCTCAGTTGAGCACAATGGGAAAAGCGAAAACCGTTTCGTTATTTACGAGACGCATTTTGTATGGCAACTTAAACGCTAATGGCATAAACATCCGAAACGTGAGCAAAATGTTTAAAATGCCGCCACAAACGAATTGGACAGGATAGCACAGGACAAACAAAGCCAATGCCGGCAGTTGGGTTAAGGTGCAAGGATCAGCGGCAACAGCAGCAGCAGGAGCAGCCGCCGTGGCTGTAATGTAGCCCAAAACGCGTTTGCCACAGCCGCACAGCAAATCAAATCTCAAATCATGCACGTTCCAAGTCCGAACCAGAAACGAAACCAACAGAAAGAATAGAAGAAATTGCTTGGTTTTCAGGTTTACCAAACGTGAAATACCCTGTAACAGAAATTTATCCAATCTTAACCTTTTGGTTTTCCATATTCATGGTGGACTCGATCTCCAAACTTCATGCTCAGTTTTACTTAAATTTATTTTAATATTATTTTAAGTCAAGTCTTAAGATAAAGAAAATAAAGGTTCTATTGTAGCTATGTGTAAGATTGAGCTGTTTTTAACTTGTGTTCAAATCTAAACTTATCTAATAAAGATAAGCTCTGTCTGCATATCAAGAAATATATATATAGTACTCATTTCATCAACATAGGCAATACACCCTTTGTTAGGGTATAAGAAAACAGTGTGCACAGAAATTGTAAAGCGCTTGGCCAGGCAACAGGGTGACTCACACTCACCGAGGGGGGAGCTCTGGAAGTGCAACTGACTTTGCTACTGACTGACGGCAAATTGTTTGAAAATTCAATTCACACATTTGCCAGTTGTCGATGATGATGCCGAGATTCGAGATTTCGGCAACGTTAGCTGTGCCCCGGCTCAACATGCAACGCCCCAACCCCCTCCACCCACCACCTTGCCACAAGCCTACAAACACGGAGAGGTCTCTCGTTTTTAAAATAAGTGGAAAATCGCTACGAATTGTTACAATGTTGGCCAGGCTCAAACGAAGACTGAGTGTGCCAGAGATTCTCAGGGACACGTGCATTTCGACAACTTTTTAGCTGTCAATGCTTTGGCCCCCAAGTATCGGTTGCAGGCAACGCGACGCTTGTGGCATGTGTTCCGAAATCTGAGGCAGCTTCTGGGGCGTCTATTTTGTATGCAAAGAGCTGCTGTTCAAAATTTAATTTATTTAGACGTTTGTGTTGTTCTTGTTGTTGTTGTCAAGTTTATTGTCTGCAAATGAAATGCGTCTGTGCCCCGGCCTTGGCTTTCCTTTTTAAACGAATTACCATTTGGCGGCTTTGATGTTGCTCGGTTTCTTCTGCATTTGGTGCCCACTTTTCCGAGGTTTTTCTTCTCATCTCCTGGCATTTTTTCATTCCTTTTTCTAACTTTTTTCGGTTTGTTTCTGCTTTGATGCAAACTTTGCAGACCATAAAGTTTTGACTTCATGCAGTTTTAATGACTTAACGAGCGCTACGCTGGCCAAGTTCCTTTGACAACTCGCAACTGGCAACTGGCAACTGGCGACCGGCAACAACAGCCAACTGCTAGCAGCGGCAGCTAATTAGGCAAACGCGTTCCGATTACCACACAATTTGCACTTTTCCTTTCAGGCCAAGGCAAAACTTAGCCCGTTGATTAAACAGGGAAAAACTTTGGTTTTCTTTTTTGTGAAACACAGTTGGGCCTATTACCTTATACCTGAATAGCCAAAAACAACTATTGAAAGACTGCAGCAACTGGCAGGATGTTAACAAGATTAAACAGCTTTGTTTTCTTAATCATGTGTCAACACTGGGTGCAGGCACTTTGCTTTCTAGGACACTTTTCAACACTGACTGCAGCCTCTGCAAGTTGGCAACACTCTACTCAAATGCATATTCACGGGAAATCAATCTTATTAGATCGTATAAGAAATCTGATATAAAATCTTGTTGAAGCTTACCGAATAAAAACATTTAAATCAACAAATTTTAATTTTGGATACCTTCCCAGTAAAGTGGGAGCTTTCCCATCATTCAAATAAATAAATAGAAAAATGAACATCATTTTACAATTAGAAATATAGCATAAAATACCTTTGTTTAGAGTTGATTGTTCCTTTTGGAAGAAATCCGACCACAATATTTTTTATGTATGTTATCCTAAAATTGTTAATTTTTCAACTGATTTTTTTCCTTTGTAACGAAATCAGACCAAAACGATCTTTTTGTTATATCAGGAGCATGAAAAGTGAATTTGATGGATGACATCTATTTGAAACCGGAGCCAAATGTCCATTGGCCCAGGCTGATTTTAAGTTAAATGCTCCTGATGTGAATAAACTAGAATGAAAAGTCGTTAACGGTAACCTTAAGTCAATCGACCAAAACACACAAATATTTACCTTATTTATGACTTATTAATTTGTAAGAATTTCATTATATTTGCGGCTTGAATCCATATAGGAGATATGCAGCAAGAGTTTTTAAGCGTTTCACTTGTGTTTCACATGTTTGTTTTTATTATACGTAGCTTTAATTTAGACAAATAAATTAAGAATTATACGATATAATAACTATGATCAACATATGTATTATTGCAACTGGATGAATGATGGGGTTGGATGTGTTTTTTTTCTTTATCGTGTTTGGTTCATTGAGCATTATTAGATGATGCAAATTTTTGTAAAATATTTTATCAACACAAATGAAATGCGCATCGAAACGATATATATCGAATAATTTGAATGATGACACATTCAATGCTCATTTGTTTGATGATCAGATAATAGCTTTTGATTGCGTAGTAGTTTTTAGTATGACTAACTAGAAGAAGACTGGATAGACTGAGCTGTTGCCGGGTTGTGAGTGAGTCGTTGTCGTGGTTAAGGCGGCATTTATTATTTATTATCTTCATAACATGTCTCTGAGCACTTCTTTTTGCGCGGCAGTCAATTTCTCCGGAAATTGTATATCGAACGCCACCAATAGATCGCCCTTGCGCGTGGTATCCTTGGGAAAGGGTAATCCATAGCCCTGGATGCGTTTCACAGTGTTCGGCTTGATGATCTCCTGCATGGTGCTGATGCGCAGTTTATCGCCGGACATTGTAGGAACTTGAAAGACAACGCCGCAGAGCGCCTATAAAATAATATTAAGAGTAACGTATCAATAAATATATAAATAAAATGCTTCAACTATTGCTGGGCTTATCAATCAAGCACAATGTGACAGACATTCCCATAAGTAAACAACTCAATTTCCTGTAAAGTGTTATTGTGCCAAAAAAAAAAACAGGAATGAAAGAAAGAATAATAGGGAATGTTGGTCAAACAAACGCACATGGGCTTTAACTGTGGAATCTATCAATCTTTTTGGTAATCCAGTTTATGTTCTTGCCTGCCACTTGCCACTTGCTGCTTGCCACAGCCAGCAGCAGCAACATGTCGTTTGGAATCAAACAGAAATGCTCCCTCGTCGGCTTATTGTGTTTGCTTTGTGTCTTGCATAAATCCTTTTTATGCTTTTTATGTGCCTAATTCGTGTTTAAACATGTTGTTGACATGTTTCTCCGCACCAAAAATCTACAGACTATATTCCTTGTTTGTCCACTTTTGGCACGGGACAATTTCATTTGCCACAGCTGACATTCGATTTGTTTAATTGGCCAGCTAAAAGATAGCTATCAATCATGATTTGCTTGAATTGAGATATTAATGTGGCCAACTTAATTAGTGAACGAAACTTGCTCATAATTGAAGAGAAAAACTTTTTGGCTTCTTAGTCATGTGATTGGCAAAGTTAAAGAGGAGTTTTACTAATATTTTAACAAGTTTCTGTTGGGTGCAATTTGCTTAGCTCTTCAGTGAGAGCTTTAAGAAATAGACGAACGCTTGAAGCTAGCTTGAATATATTAAGTGAAGTACTAAAAGCCAATAGTGTCTCGCTTGAAACAGCTCTAGTTCTCTAGAAGAGTGTTAAAGCTCGACCAAATGTCAATCTTTCACTACCTCAGGATAACTTAAAGCTAATCCAATCTATTACTTTCACTCTAAACAAGTTATAAGTAACTACAATCAACTAACAACTCATAAAGGTCCATAACTTTTAGTCTAAACAAGCTATAATTAACTTGAAGCTTGGCTAGGCTTTATGTGCTGTAATAAATTTGGGGATGAATTTATATTGGAAATTATTCAAATAATAAAATCAATTGACAAAAGCCTAAGCTCTTTAACATAATAATAAGCTCTTCCTAAAGTTTTTTACTAAAATTAAAAATATTCAACGTTTTTATCCGAAATTTAATACAATAAATCAGTTACGCCTTTCTAAAATAACATCCAGTTGTCTGACACTTGTCATATGTACTATACACGCTGCAAACACTGTACACATTGTGATTTGATACCCAGTTACCCGCATCGGACAGTTGTCCAGAACATAAAACCCTGTGAATGGTGCGAACCGCTGCCTCGCCCAATAAAGAACATAAATAAATTGCGACAAAAGCAAAGTGCACACCTTATGAATATTTAAATATATGCATGCATGTATGTGTGTTTATATGTATGTATGTAGAGTATTCGCCGAGTGGTGAATTTAAAGCGATGACAACATAAACTGATGACGACGGCAACAACAACAACAACAACAACAACAATAGGAGCAGCACAAAATGCCGATGATGACGACGACGTCGCCACCAGCATTGATATTTTTTAATGGAAATGTTAAAAATGTTGTCGCAAAAGCAAAAACAAAAAGAAAAACGCAGTAAATAAAAATCAACAACTACAAAAATCTGTAACATAAAAACGCTTAAATACTTTGCTACCTTTTACGGAAGCTGAGCCATAAAAACTTGGAGCAAAAAAAGAAAAAAAAAAAACAGCACACAGGGAATACAAATGCGAATTGCGATTCGGTTACAAGCAACAACTGGATCAGCTGGATGGGTGAAGGGAATGGGCATGGTGGATAAGGGCACAAATCTGTTGCCTAAAATGGCAACTGGTTCTTGCGCATAACAATAAATATAACAAAAACGTACAGAATTTTAATTTTAACCATAAAATTGACAAGACCAAATTCTCTAATAAAATCAAAATTGTTGCTTTTCTAAATATGTAGAATATAACATTTCTCAGTTTTCTTTGAAAAGTCGCTGCTCGGGCGCCAAGCTAATTTGTAAATATCAAAACAATTGGTTTTATAAAAATGTTTATGAGTTATTTAACACATAAAATTTTCACGTTTTTTGCATATATGAGTATACAAAATTACGAAGCTAACTAGTCTTAAAAATTGTCCCTACTCGGGCGCTATGTTTAAGAAAAAACTAACTAAGCTAAGATTTTAAAATTTTTTCTGCTCAAGCGTCATTCATAGATATTCTTAAAACTGCAATTAGTTAAATTAGCGAACATTTGGAATACAAATACTCAATTTTGCAATTAACAAGTTTAGTTTTAATAGATAGAGCACTTTCAAAAATATCAGCAAAGGAACTACTACTACCAGTAGCTACTACTACAAACCATGATTTTCCATTGAGTGGAACTTCTTTTTTACCAGTTTCGATATTAGTTAGTCTAGTTAAGGGAAATAACAAACATAAACTACCCCAGTTTTTCGCGACGCTAGACAATTACGCTCGCTCAAAAATAAACTGAAAAAAGTGTTTGAAAAACAAATCAACGACATTCAATAGCATGTCATAAAGCATTTTGTTGTTTTACTTGATTTTTATTTTTATTTTAGCATTTTGTTTTTTTTGGTTTTTTTTTTTTTTTAGAATTGACAATGTGAAGGACGCTGACGACTGTCATCAAAATGCAAACGAAGCCGTTGAATGCTTTTTGTATTGAGCTACCAATTCTATGCAGTCGAAAAGTTCTCCAGCCAAAAATGACAATGCCAATGGGCAGACAACATTTCAAACAGCAGCAGCAACAACAACGAGACACAAATTTTGTGACGTCTGGCCATCAGTTACACGAGCAAGCCATAGACATAGGACAAACACATAACCAACGTTCAATTGTTGTTTGGCATTCATCAATTTTTGGGGTAGATGATGCTGCATTCGCGGATTTCGGACGCAGACAACACTCAAAGCGACAACAATTTTATTCTTGTTTTTTTTTTTTTTTGCCATTGAGCTGTTGACTTTGCATTCCATCTAAAATTTACGACTATATGCACATAGTATGTCCATAAAGCACTTCTCCTATTTCTATTATATGTATGTGCTGTAGGTCAGTGCCATCAGTGCAACAATATTATAATGAACGCATTTTGGTTTAGTGCTTCAGTCAAATATTAAATGTCATCAAAAATTATTCACCGCGTGCTACAAATTCTGATTTTGTAACGTAAACGATGATGTAATTTATGGCCGATATTAAATTTAATACACATTGCAACAATAAAAAAAATACAAATTCAATATTGTTGCGGCCAATTATGTGAAGTACTTATTTGGCGCTTTAATTGCTTTACGGCCCGCTTTGTACACCAACAAAAAATCCAAATTCAGGCAACCATTTGTTATTTTAATTACTATTTCTTTCTCCTTTTTCCATTCAATAAACGACAAGAAAGCGTTAATAAATGTACATGAAGTATGTTCAAGCTATAAATCTGATTAAACAAGAAAGTGCAACTTATTGCAGCGTACCGAATGGTTAATTCCCTTTTCAAAGACATTTCTATGCGATTCTCATTGCTGTTTTTTTTTAATACTATATTAAAGTGTTACAAACAGGAAATTCGAAATTGAGAAGCTGTTAATAAATTGAAATGCAATTTAGAGTTTTGTCAACTAGCTCCAACTTTTGACTGACTGTTTTTACGACTTTAAGCGACTTTGTAGCTTTAGCTTATCCAGCTGCTAAATGTTATAGTCTTAATCGTTTATTACCTTAAACTAGAAGACGGACAGAGTATACTGTTATGATTATATGGACATCTTACGACCCTTAACTTGATCTTATGGCCAGCTGTCAACCGTTTAGGTCTGGCCAAATATTGCAAAATATATGATATGATACGGTCTTGGGCTGGGTTCTCACAGTATGGCGCCCAATTAAAGCCGGGCAGCGCCTAAATGAAATTATAATGAAATCAGCGTTATGGTTATGGCAAATTTACCATATACGCGCCTGAAGCTGCCGACCAGAGTCTGGCTCTGGCCAAGAGCTGAGCTGAGAGCTGGCTGCCAGGCGAATTTGGTCAACATGGTCAAGTTTCAATTAGGCGGACACAGCAGTTGGTCGGGCCAACACGTACGCACACTCTGTGGCAACTTGGTAGGCAGTTCATGACGCTTAGGTGTTAAATTTTTCACAGCCAACTGCGTTAAAAGTTGGGGCGCAAACTTCGCGCTAAGATTCGC